CGTCGTGGTGTCCTGCTGGAGAGGGGCTGATGGGGCACCAGGAGCTGGGAGGGCACAGAACGGGGACAGCTTGTGGCAACTTAGGCATGGGCTCCGTTGCTTGTGCAGGACAGAGAGCTTCATTGTACGTGCTCACGGCCTTTTATAGCCCCGCAACAGCCCCTTGGCTTCGGGTGTATTTACATCTGGCAGCAACGTCTTCATTGCAAGCTCTGTTTTGCCAGAGTGAGAGATGGAAATAAGAATTCAGAGGAGCAAAGATCCCTGGATTTGTTTTAGTATCGTGATGCTGGTGTGTGGGTGGCCAACCGTACCGTGGGGCGCATCAGGCCCGGCACTGCCCAGGAAAGGACTGTCCCGCTCTGCTCTGCCGCGCCGCTGCAGCCCGTGAGATGTCCGACGCCGCTTCCTGAAGCGGCCGCGTTCTCCTTGGGATCTGTGCCCAGCGCTGCCCACAGCCTGCCCTGCTGCGCTGTGAGAAGGCAAGTCCCAGCCTGGGCTCAGATGGCTGCAGGCCCTCGTTGCTCTCGGTTCCCGAGGCTTCCAAGGTAACGCTTTGGCACCCCCCGCTTTGCCAGGTGCCGCTCCCTGCATCCCCTTGTCTTGCTGATGCACTGCTGCTCTGGCAGTCCCTCTGCCTTCCCTGAGTGGCGCCTTGTGGAACACAGAAATGACACGCAGGTTTGGTACGCGCTAAGGGAAGAGGAGGAGTGGAAGCTGCTCCCAGCTGGGCGTCACGGCAACCCCCATCCCGACCCACCTCGGTTCCACCGGTGCCCCTGTGTAATGGGGTTGAGGCTCTGGGACTCGAGGGAGAGGTGCGTGAGGATGCGGTGGGAGGCCCACCCATGAGGTTTCCTAGGGCGAGGCGGCTGACTGATTTCTCCACAAAGAATTCAGGAATAAATACTTCTATCCCTGGATGGCTGCAGTCCTGGTTGGTAAATGGAAATGGATGATTGTGTCCATACTTACCTATTGAAAACAAACACCAGTGGAGCCACCCCCAATAAAAAACGGATAAAATGATGGTGTTAGAGGAGGTGGGGAATGAAGAAAGGGAAGAAGAGGAAGATGTCTATGAAACTGTACCATAGGAAAGAATTGAGAAGATTTGAGAACCTGAAGCACTCAGGCAAAGAGGACCCAGGGGAGGAAGAGATCAGAGTCGGGTAATAGGGCATAAAAGATGTCGCGCTGTCTCTGCAGGGCATTGCCACTGTGAATAAAGTCTGCCGGTATCACAGGTACCGTCCTGACAAATTATTTGGGTATTCCAGTTGTTGGGATGCACACTGGGGAGAACATTGGAAAGGCAAAAGCCCGGAGCTTGAACTCAGCTCGGCTGTTGGGGCAGAAGAGAGAAAACCCTTTTTTAACACGTATCTTAACGGTCAAAGGAGAGAATCTCCCTCCTGTACCTTGTGCGGCAGGAACGTGACCGCTGAGGGTGAGTTTTCCTTCTTGGCATCTGGTGCTCTCTTTTGGCTTTAGGGGAAACACAAAGAGTGTTGGAAACACGGCAGGGTTTCTAGCTGTTGCTGAGGGTGACCAAACGCTGAAGTTGTGCACTTGTTGCACGTGATGCGGAGATGAGAGAATGATGGAAGAAGCAAAGGAGGAGAGAGGTGCACAGGGATATTTCTAGAAGGGATTTTAATCTGCTTTCTTAACTCTGGGTCTAGGGACAGGGTCCCTAGCTGCTTCTGTTGTGTGCTGTGTCTGCACCAGCTGATTGCAGCAAGGTGGCCTTAGAAGAGTGGGCTTTTAGTCACCTCTAGGAAGTCAGTGATAGTGAAGAACTTCTTCAGATACAGGAAGCAATTTATTTGACATCTCCAGTTGTGACCTTATTTTCTTCTTCAGCATGCAGCGTTCAAAGAAAAGATTTAGCTGGGATTACTTGAGAAGGATTGGGTGTGTGCTTCTCCATTTTGCAGCCAGATTTCATCTTTTCAATTCATCCGTGAGATGAATGACTTTTGTGCAGCATCGCTGTCCCTGTGCCGCAAGGTTGGGGTTTTTTTAGCCCGTTTTTCTACAAAACAAAGCGAAAGCCCAGTAAGTATTGCAGCAGCTCTCCATGACAGGTGAGATCATGCCTGCTTCAGGCCATAGTGAGCAGAGGCTGGGAGAAATACTGAGTGGGTGCCATACTGTACTGTGGAATCTTCAGAACCCTTCAGACTGAAGCTTTTCTTTGTAAAGTGCGTTATTACCAAAACTGCGGTAACATTTCCCAAGTGGGGATCTTCAAAGGCCGCACTCTTCATCTACAGATTGCAGTGGCTAAAATGGAAAGGAAGCCCTTGGGTAGCTGTTGAGAAGTGCTGACTTTCGTTCGCTGTTTCATTGTACAATCATTTATCCACCTTAAAGTTGTTTGTTATGAGATTAACGTTCTGAGGCGAACTCTAAGCCTGAGGATACCTGGTGTGTCCCTGGGAGGCTGTTAAATGAGTTATGGTTGTGCCTTTATTCTGCGGTGGCTGATTATGTCAAGGCAGTATAGGAGCATTTGTAGAATGTTGTGTACTGCTATTAACATGGTCGACATGTTGAAGATTTTTCATCAGTAGGAACATTAAATATGTGATGTCAGTGTTTGTTACTATGAAAAGGAATATCTGTATATATTAAGAGGAGCACAGATCTTTAATCCATAAAGGCAGTGTAGAAGCCTGCAGGCTGACAAACTACACAGATAATTTTTATTTTGCTAAAGACGACCGTGTCCTGTGCCATAGTGCCTGGCAGCAAGCGTGGGTTGGGGGAATGAGAGGTGATGGGCCAGAATGATTTTGTTTGCTGTAGGTGTGCTGTCCTGCTGAGGGGAGGAAGGGCCTCCTGATGAGAATTGTGTAAGACTGTGTTTCAGGTCCCATGAGTAATAGCGGTGCTCAGCTGCTTGGGGTACATTATAGAGAAAGAAGAGAACAACAAATACAAAGTTTTACCTTTTTGATAGTTATTTTTGTTTGGTAAAATGAGAAGCTACAGGCTGCCTGGAATAGCTCTGCCTATCCCAAATAACCTGTTCCCCCATCATTATAAGGAAGATGGGTTCTGACTTTTACTTAAACACGCTGTATGCAGGTTGTTCATTTTGAAGTTAGTGAGATGAGCCTCAAATACCCACTGCTGGCCTGCTGCCTGAAGCAAGCAAGCAAAACTGCTGTCCCTGACCCCTGGGAGCCAGTGACAAATGACAGTGAAATCCATCTCTCTTACTCAGGCAAAATTATCCGTGTAAAAGCATCCTCTGAAGTTCTTCTAACTTTGTACAAAGTCAGTGATGGTCAGTAGTGAACATGGGCTGGTGGATGTGTTCAGTGCTATTGCCTGTAGAAAAGGGATCTTTTGACTCAGACATTGTGTGGCTGTAACTCATCTGACCTCTCCGTCCTTGCCTTTGTCATTTGTGCAGCATTTCATTCACTCCTTCTCTACAGTTTGTTCTGATTATACACCGGTGTAATTTTAAAAACTCAGTACAAGTGCTTTATACACAAATAATGTTGGGTAAAACAGACATCTATCATCAGCCTAATTCCTCAGGTTATAAATGAGCCACACAGATCCTGTATTGTATCATGGCTTCTCATAAAAGTTTTATAGCTACACTTTGGTGTAGCTTTGCTTTGTTTGGTGTGTCATCAGCTTTAATAACAGGTGTGTAACCGTTCATGGGAAGAAATATGATGGTTGAAACTAGAAGGGACTATAGGATTTGAATTAGGATGTATAAATGTTATCCTATATACTTATAAACACATAAAAATCTGAGCTGCTTTATAGCTGTTCTCAATCACAATCAAGGAAGTAAAAGAAAGATTCATTATTCAACCTGGAGGATTTCTGCATGAGATCCTGCAGCGTGTGGTGCTGCTGAGCCGCACAACTCCAGCTAGTGAGGAGTGCTTGTTTCTTGATACACCAAGTGCACGTTTTTTTAGATGGATTTGGGTGGTAGGGTGAGGGAGGGATTTCAGCTGAAGTAGTTGGAGTTTGTGGGAATGATAAAAGGAGGGATTACACTGTTCTTTTTCTTCTTTGAAGTATCTTCCCAAGGCTTTATTTGGAGATGCTAATCTGAAGTTGGGCCATGACTTCCGTAGAGGACGGCCCTTGCTAACATGGAATCATACAATTGCTCAGGTTGGAAAAGACCTTCAAGATCACTGAGTCTGTCCACAACCAACCATTCTACCCCAACTAACAACCCTCCACTAAATCACGTCCCTGAGCACCACATCCAAACGGTTTTTAAACACATCCGGGGACGGTCACTCTACCTCCTGCCTGGGCAGCCCATTCCAGTGCTTAACAACCCTTCAATAAAGAAGTGTTTCCTGATATCCAACAGCAGTTTTGTTTTTCTTCTTTTAAAAAATTTTGCAAATATAAGGAAAATCTCACCTTCTCAGTTGTGATACAAGCAGCCACATTCAGCTCTGGGGAGGTGCAGATTGCACAGAAGGAAAAACTCTTCACTAAGTGCTGTATGGGTCAGCTCACCCAGAAAACAGTCTTCAAACTCAAAAATCTTTTATAAAGTTAGTTCTTTCCGCCCACTACTGGACTGAAAACAATAGCAGACCTTCAGTTGTGCTGTTCTTGGGGCTTCTTTTCCTTCCTAGATGAGGGGTGGGAAGGAAAATGAGGCAAGAGTTGACAGGGGTGGGTATTATAATCATGGCGCATGGGGAAGAAGTATTACAGTTAGTTTCTGTTAACATTAGGGCTTAATAATGGCCATTAGCTCTCTTTTGTGTTCTTTCTGTTTTCCTTGATGAGAGCATGATGTGCACTGTGGCTGTCGCTGAAATAAAGGGCGTCCCTATTTCCACGTGGAAATGTCAGTGGTAGGTACCAGTGAAGAGATTATTCCCCACGGTTTCCTTTGCTGACAAATTTAGAACAGAATGCAGTTCTGTTCACATCTACCAAGTGGAGCTGCCTGTAGGCATTCACTTCGTTGTGAATTTATAGTGTCACTGTAATGTTTGCATTAATCCTATCAGCACAAAGCGTACATAAATGCATTCAGAATTATTTTGTCTTGCTCATGCAATTTGCATTAAGATCAACATGCAGAACTGTATTTTTACAGCAAGTTTTATATCTAATATCCAAATCCTTTCTCCCTTTCTTCTGTCAATCCGTGTCCTGTTTTTAATCCCTACTGGGCTCAGTGCCAGCAAGGAGCTGCAAGGATCTATGGCAACTGCCACATTTGCACTTTTCATTTACTAATCAGTAACTAAGCTCTCATTAACTATTCTTAACCATCCTGTTCAACATATGTTTGCTTGGGCATTAGTGCTTAGAAGTTGAAACAAATTAGAACAGCAGCTAAATTTACTTCCTAATAGCCAAAAATATTGGAGAAAGAATAGATTTGGAGTGTGGATGTGGCAGTGGAAAATGGGGAAATCCCGGTCTGCCTGGGTGAATTGAAGGCTGGGGATGTGAACTTCCTGCCCCCACCTTACCTCTGATGTACAAAGAGCTTTGAAAAGAGGCCAGCAAACATCCACTGACCAGCAGGGTTTACAAATGAGGTTCTATTCGAGACTCTTTCCTCTGTTTCATTCTCCATGTTTTTCCCTTTCAAGCACTACAAAAGTATTTATGGGTCTACTCTGAGGCACTTCCTGCGGAGGAGCGTTTTCATTTTGACTTCTAACTATGCTGACACTAATTGCAGAAAGAGCAGCTTAACAAAGGAAAGCATGGAATGTTGGATGATAGATTGTGTAGGCCCTTAAAAAGGTTATTGTCTCTGCTTAAGAAGTTGTTTTGCGTACTCGCAAAGATTGTTAATGATCAGCTTTAATTAGTTTCATTGTGCTATCAAAACGGTAGTGCAAATCCTATCATTTTGTCCTCAGGTTTGTGCTGCTTTGGATTCAGCAGCAGCTCATCTGTAAGGGATGGGCAGTCGCTGTGCTGCTGTCCTGCAGCCTGGCCCAGGATGTCCGCTCACACCGTGCTCCCAGGCTCTGTCCTTCCTTCTGTCCAGGCACAGTGTCTGCCTGGGGTTTGTTTCCGTATCTCTGGAATGGGCTTCATGTTCACGTGTTCAGCAGTGTGCTGTAGGGATCTGATTGCTGCTTGCAGAAACCTGTGACAGGGAATCCTGGAAGTGGAGTTTGCTCGTCATGCTTGGGCTTTCTGAGTGCTCTGCGGTTTTCAGTCCCATGTTTGTCCAGTTAAGGAAGGTTAGGTTGTGACACTCTGTGTAGAGCAAAATTCTTCACAGGGAAAAAGCCCTCTGTAGTCTTGCCGTGTCAGCCAAGGCTCTGACAAGCCCTTTTTCAAGTAGCGTTACCCCACATTTGATCCTGCTGTTGGTTTTCTAAGAGAAGATAACCTTTCCCCCAAAAGGACCTGGGCACACAGCTTCCTTCAGTCAAAGCCAGACTCAGCTGGGAAGCACATGTTGGTAACAG